TTAGGGAATAGGTTGGACCACACACTTCTGGAATCCCTGCAGCAATATGTTATTAAGAATATAGAGAAGTAGAAGGAAAAACCTTGTCATTCCAATGAACAATAAGAGTAGAAACAGATTGTTGCAGTTTCTCAACATGTTGTCAAGAAAATTTAAGTGCAATCCTGCATGTGACACTGTGGTACATTAGGGACAAAAAAACACCTTGAATTTTGGCAATGCCACTTTCTTTGTGAGGCAGTTTAAATGCTATGACTAACCAGAGCTGCCGGATTTTTGGACCTCAGGAGCACATCAGGATGCCCTGCATAGCACAGAACAATGCACTCACTGGTTAATACTCTGTGAAGGATTTCTTTGCTAGGTGCTCTTCTCACAGGGCTTCCTATTAGCATCGACTGAGAAATATGGGGGTAAGCAGTTTGGGGCCCCAGGCTCTTCCTGTTCTCAACATTCTTAGGTAAGGGGAGGTTACAAGAAAGCCCTCATCCCTTATTTTCCACATTACTGTGCCTTGGGATCTATACTCCATTTCAACACAAATCTCCCAGAACGTTTTTTCTGCTGACAGCGAGAGAAAAACCAGAACAGTGAACAAAACTCCTTTCAGAGCCCCGGCCCCAGCCTCCCCCCACAAGCCCAGGGAAGGCCAGGGAACCTCTTTCAGGACTGGGTTCCTTCCTTCCTCCCCCCTGGGGAACTTGCTTCAAATACTGGCTTATAAACACAGCCATTGCTGCTGGACTATTAGTCCTATCAGAGATGTAGCAAGAGATGCGCCAGCCAGTGAATTGGACTTGTACCAGGTCAAATCCAAGTTACCCTCCTGACACTACTGCCTAAGAAGCTCATAAAACATTACTTCTACCTGTTATACTACTTGGATAATCAACTGTTACCTACAAGAACACTTGCTTATTGACTAAAAAAAATCCCCAAACCCCACATCAACATAAGAAGCAATATACCATGAGTCTGTCATTTCTGATGGACCTTTCAGTTCCACCTATTTTCAGAAATGCTCCTAATGTGTTGACTTAAAGCATTCAGACACCGAAATCCTTGCCCCGAGAAGCAAAGCTGCCCCTTTGATTTGCAGAATGCTCTCATGAGTCAACACAATTCTGATTCCCCTGCTGATATAAGTGAGTACAACCGACGTCTGGCTGAAATATAGTTATGAACAACAATGCTTAATAAAGAATCAAATAAAACTGTGAATATGTCCATCAAAAATACGCATACAACCAATAATTTCTGGCAATCCTTAAGTAGAAGATGAAGAGAGAAGAACAAACTCAAGCTCGTATGGTAAATTACATACGGCTGTAACTGCCCTTTTTGTTTTATGGGTCTGCAACGCCTGCCTCAGCAAAACTCCAACCCCTGATGGGGGCCATTAAGCAATACTTCAGTATAAAAAGAAATTAAACAAGTAACGCCCAGCTAGATTCTCATGCACACAAGGTATTGCCAAACAAGTTTTATGTAGGGCTGCGTAAATGCCAGTTGACTTCAGCAAGAATCAAGGGCACAGTCATTTAAAACATTTCTCTCTATCTGCAGTAATCAAAACAAGTTACAGCCAGTCTACAGTTATATATCTAGCTTGAAGACTGCTTGTCTGTGCAAGAGAGAACCATCTGGATTTACTTTACAGTTAGCTTTAAAATATATATATAAGGTTTCTTAACTTTTGCCAAACAACTGGAAACATAATAGTTTCTGCATGCTGTTAGCATCTCAGCACAGCTGCAAATGTCCATTAGGACAATCTTATATAATTATATATATCTATTCTTCCCATGCAGTTGTTAAAAAAGCAGCTTTTCCAAATAACAGCATATTTTGTAGCAAAGAGGAAACCTTCCAGTCCACCAGGTTGGAATGAGGGAGGGAAGCCATCTAAAGTAGAACTTCACTCAAAGCTTTTATTTTAAACTAACATGAAAATTTCAAGCTTTAGAAAACAGAGTGTCAGATTTTTCCAACTGTACCTCTAGTGTGGTCTGGCCAGAAATCTATCATTTCTCTCCCTTCTTTTCCTTACCCAGTGTTTGTGGGAGAAATTCAGTCCTAAGAATTATTTTCTTTTTAAAAATCCTTTTGGTTTTTTCCCGTCTTGCTCCCACAGCTCCATGCTCCGTGCCACAGAAAGTGCCATCTAGGAAGCTGGTCGGGAGCATTTTTTTTTTTGTCACAGTCTGGCTCATTTCGCTTGGGTGTCATCCTTTTACCCATCTAAGTGTTTAGTGTTTGCCTCTTCTCAAACATCAGCTAGGAATTGCCTTTTATTATGTATTTGAACAGTGCTCAGCACTGTTCTTGGGTGGCTCTAACATTTTCAGAATAAATACGGGGGGGGGGGGGGGGGGGGGGGGCGCCACAAAGGGGGGCGATCAACAAAAAACCCCCAAACCCAAGGAAGTTAACTTTGCCCGGGGTCATGTCTGGGCCTGGTGCAATTGCTTTGCTCAGACAGGCACCTGGGGCCAGCAGGTGATGGCAACACAACAGCCACCACCGACAGCAGGGACCTGCAGGCTGAATGCAGGCAAGGCTCTGGTAAGCAGCAGTGATCTGCATCTTCAAAACACCATCATTAGCTCAGCCAAGATTTTCAGAAATAACCAATAACATGGTAAACATCTGCTTTTAGGAGCCCAAGGCAACTACTCAACTTTCCAGAGGGCAGGTGCTTACCTCTTCCAAAATAAAAGCCTTCCCGCTGTGCTTCCCATGTGTCCAGGCTCCAAAGCACTCTAAGCCATTGGCCGTTCTCAAAACATCTCAGCAGCTAGTATTTTTTACTTAACAAAAGCAAAACTAATGGAAACACACACAACTGGTCCCAAAAATAGAAGATTTTTCCAGGAGGTGAACGATCCCGCCCTACACATTCTTGGGACCCTACAGAGAGAGAGGCAACAAGGGCTCCTATTGTTTTGACAGCCAGACAGACAAACAAATGCTTCTGTTTCAGCTTAATATTCCTGGAACTCAAAATGCCAGCCTGAAAGAAACAATACCACAAAACGTTGTCATGCCATCAGTCTGACATCAGAAAGACAACCTTGGGGAGTGACAGCCCAACAGAAGCAACAGACCCATCCCCGCGCCGTGCCACCTGGGCCACACAGCCCTCCTGTTACACACCTTGCGGATCAGCCTCCTCCCACCAGCACTGCGCCAGTCTGCTCTATCATCTTACCCATGTTCCCCCATACCGGGTCACCTGCAGGGATAAAAATAAAACAACTGCAGCTAGTTTCTGTTCTGTGAGGTCTGTATCTCCTCCTCCACAAAGTTTCTCTGTTATCAGTATAGAATTAGTTTGCACAACAACCTTCCAAGGTAACTTAGAAAGCACAGCAGGTTTCTCACATCTAAGCTTCTTTCTCATTTTAAGAGCGACTATCTGAACAATTGGCAGGGAGGAGCTTGGCCACTCTGTAACACAGAAACTTGGCTGGGGGGATGCCGTTAGCATGAAACAGCAGCAGACTCAATGCCCAGAACTTGAACTGAAACTGTTTGTTATTATTTCACATCTGTACCGCAGTATTAGCCACAGGCCATGATCAAGTCTGGTCCTCGTCCTTCTGAAATTAACTTTTATCTTTTAAACAGACAGGGGATAACAAAGGTGGCTGGGAAGATCTGAAGTAACATTAAAAATAACTGGCATAATCAGGAACTCAGGTCCCACTGAAAATTAATGGGGGACTTGGCTACTTTGGGAAAAAAAACACTTGGGCAACCTGAAACTTTGGTCAGGCACAGGCATTTGCATTCACAGAAACTCTTTCTGCTCCTACAGGAGATGAAAAAGTTGCAGAGTGAGGATTCATCAACAACTGGCAGCTTTGGGCATGCACTGAGGTGAGAGCAGGGAGCACTTTGAGCCAGAAAACATGCAAGCAGCACATGCAGGTTTGCTCAGAGAGATATTTGCAAGATGGTCATCTCAAAAGAAGGGGCGAGGAGGCGCCAAAAAGCAGGTGCAGAGATCAATGGGCTACTTTCCAGTATCACACCCTTGTCCTGACTGGTCTTTTTGTCCTAACTGGTCTTTTTGCCTCCTTCCCTCACTCCCAGGCAGAAGGTAATGGATCTGAAGAATTTCCCCTGGGAAATATGAATACTCAGGTCACAGCTAGAGCTTCTTATGTCAGTGCAAGCCTGGCTCCAGCAGCACCAAAATCTCATTACTCCTAATGAAGTTGTCTGAGTTGGTATCACTGAGGCATGGTTTGCTGCAGAACACATGCCTGGGGAGAGGACCAGCTCCTTGCACGTGATCCTGATCCCCTCTAACAGGCAGCCCCATGGGCCATGAAGGTCATCACTCTTGCAGCAGATGAAATGCTGGAGTGGAAGAGGTGTACATCAGCGTACCCAGATTTGATCTTTGATGAATCTGGCTATGGCTTACTACAGAAAGTTTTAGACTTTCTTTGATAGAAATGAAGGAAAGAAAACCTTTTTTAGGGAAGCAGGGAACTTTTCAAAGGCTGGAGAGTGTAACTCTACCTCTCTTTGGCAAGCTGTGCCCATGTCACCAGTTGAGAAGGGCTCATGGCTTTCTCAGCACAGAAAGGCATTTCAAAAGTCAGAGGGATACTGAGAGCGGCAGCACTGAAGAAAACGAAGACAGTAGGTAGGGAAGGTGGCTTTCTAGTGATGGCACATACAGGAGATAAGGATCTTGTCAGGATGCCACCCCTCCCACTGCCCGTTGTTGTGCCAGTGCCAAATGACTCGTGCACAGCATGACAGGGAACAGCAGTGCAATGCTCCAAACCCATGTGCAGCACTAAGCACAGCATCGGGCTTGACAAGAAGATAAAAGATGAGTTTTATTACAGTCGACACACAGGCATCACTTTATCTTAGTTATACAGAGACTAGGTAACTAAATTGCCAGGTTTAATGGTTCAGGTTACATCAGGGAACAGTTTTACCAGCAGATGTAAATATCGTCCTTTCGAGTTGGTAGCACTCAAGGTCAGAGTCAGCAAATCCTCCTCTAAAAATAGACACTAGTTGCAAAGTTGGTTAAGATTCCTTTTGTCGTTCTGCCACACTTCACGGGAACCAGCTACCTAGAGTATCCACCTAAGCTTACAGGTAAGGCTACGCAATATACATTTTTCTGCTGTACTTCTTTTGCTCCTTTTCTTTCTTTTATAACCTAGTTCAGTAAACCAAGGAGAGAACTAAGAACTGGCAAACATTCTAAGGTAACTGATAACTTCACAACTTGTTACAGAGGAAAAGAAAAAAAAAAAAGCTTAAAACTATTGCAGAGTCAAAGAAGTTTTGAAAGTACATTTTATAATTTCTTTAAAACCAAATTGGTCGTGTTACAGAAATGTCTTCATAAAATAGGAAATGAGGTGCCAAAACTGTATTTATCTAAGAGATAATTTCAATTTAAACATTAGGAATAAAACTCCAGTTTCTCGAGCTTTTGTTAACATCTACCCACGAATATTTTGCTTATTCCTCAACAATTGCTCCACCCTCCAGTCAGATCCAACTTTTTCTACTGAAATACAGTTCTCTCAGATGACACTGCATGTTAAGTTTCTCTTATACCTAATGAACTCTCAGCTTAATCTGTTTTAAATTAACCAGTTCAGTCAAAAATAAAGAATGAGGGGGAAAAAAAGTTTTTAAAGAGTCATCAGTGGCTTAGAAATTCATTGAAATAGTTGGTTAGTTTTGAATATTCACAGCAGGAGGGTCTGGGAACTAATTGCACAGAGGCTACGATTCTTCTGGTTTTAAACTGTTTCAAGATGAATGCATCGGATGAAATATTTTGCAGTCTCTGAACACTTCAAGCATAAAGAATGCAGGGGTAAAATAATGGAACTTAAGTAAATTACAGGTTTTGGTGAAGATTAGGACAGAGATAAGGAACACAGAACTGTGTTATTCTTAAGTATACTGCACATAACCCTGGTGATTTTCAGTTTTGCACAAACACCTGGCTTAATTCTTTTGCGGCTCTTTCAGAGAAAGATTTTTTGAAGGACTTGCTCCTCTTCCCTCCTAAGAAGTATCTGCACAGAATTAATTTTTTTAGTCTAGTGTTACAGGGAAAAACCACCCAAGGTAGCCTTGCAGCACTGTACCTCATTGTAGCACCCTGGGGTGCAGCAAGCGCACACAGGAAGGCACACAGCTCCCCACGGCTGCTGCCAGCATTTGGAGCCTGAGCAAAAACCACGTTATGTGGATGGCTTACTGGGGAGCACAGTTTTAAACACATCTATTTAAATCCTACGACAAAGCAAGCTTTTGTTACTGCAGATAACCAGCTCTCAGCTCAACTGATGTACTTTGAGTCATGAGAAGTGTAGAAACCAACGCACTGTTTACCCTCTTTGCAAGTGCAAACACCACGCTCCAGACAGCTGTGCATTGGCTTCTGCAAGGAGAACTTTCCAGTTTATAAAACAGCCCTCTGCTTAGTCATACTCAAAAAGGGTAAGTACTTTTTCACCCTGAAGGGAGGTATGTACCTGGCATGCTGGCTGGAAAAGGAAGAACAGAACATTTCTTAAGAATTCAGGCACTTGCACAACAGATCCTCCCTCGTTGTTTCTGAAGACCCTCAGACATTAGATCTGATTTTTGTATGCCTTCAGCACCAAAAGAATGATTACCTGGATTCAAGTCTCTTGCACATTTTTTTGAAAGGGCAAACCTGGTATTTCCCATCCTTACTTTCTCCTAGGAGTATTCCCCTCTTGTATACATTTATTACAGACACTGTTTCTCCACAAAGGTCTTACCTAAGATAGTTATTGAACTGAAAGAAGTAGATAAAAATAAAAGCATTATTTTTGCAGTTGTCTGAAAGCCAGAAAGGTCTGGACCCCAGAAGATAGATGTCCTCCGATTTCAGTGGTTTTGAATTCTACCTGATAAATAAAACCATTCACCATTCAAATAAGTCAGCTCTTCATACAACTTCAGAAAAGAAAATAGGAATAATTTCTCACTAACAAGCACTTCATGCACAGAACTGATTTCTTAATCATAATTACAGGAGAGTTTTTTCAGCTTCACTGTTCTTTCAAATTTAGCGTTTGTGGCAGCAAATAAATTCAGTCCCCGAACTTGAGGGTCAAACCACTGACTAATTTCAAGAGCATGATGTTTATCTCCTGCTGCACTGGTGTGGGCATGAGGAACTATTGGAAACGTCGTTACTTCTGTAGGCTTCTCATGAAAGGCTCAGAGCTGACATATATAGTCTGCTTCAGTTATTTCCTTTCCCTCCCTTGGCATCTTAAAAAAAAAAAAAAAACAACACAAAACCAACACACTTTAAGATATCACAGCCCTACTCCTTTTTCAGAGCTGTCACGAGGGAAGAGGTATGAAGCAAAATCTGAAAGCATCAAAACAGGAATAATATTAAACACTGCCTCCATATTTACAAATAAGTTATATATTTAGGTATCTGCTGGATGCTGAAGCCCTTCAATCCCCAGCTAAATCAGAAGAATTTGTGATTGCTTAGTATTTTCAGGAAGAATTAGCTTTTAGACAACTCTCTAAGTACAAAACAGCGGCTGGTACACTTGTGCACACCAAATTAAATTTAATAAAGCCAGCATCAAAAGCCCCGCTAGCACAGGTGATTGATGTCGTATGGTCTGGGAGAACTCCCAAGAGCAGGAAACATGGGTGGTAAAGAATTTAAACTATTCTGCTATATAAATATGGACTGAAGCGAGCATTAAGGCAAGGAAGCCCTGTGCCCTATGTCAAGCAGGGCAGAACAGCTAACAGGATTACAGTTGTTCCTTCTGAAGGAAAGAGGGAGGAAAATTGTCTGCTGTCTCCATTTTTCTTCCCACCTTTTATTTGTTTAGCCTCTCTCGCTATATGTTTGTACCAACACCATTGGGCTCTGACCTTATTGGGGATCTGTAGCTTCAGGCTCATAAACACAGCTACAAATCAGCAGCCAGAGTAAGTACTCTTGGGACAGCAGTGATGGAGGAACTCCCCTGGGTCAGGAACAGTGCGGAAAAGAAGGGGAGAGGCTACATAGGTCCTTGCAAAGGACAAAGGCAAATGTAATCCTTTTCTGTGCATGTCTGCTTCCCCTCCTTCCTTTTTTTTTCTTTTCTTTTTTTTTTTTTTTTTAATCTCTACAGCTGACTTGGATCTTAACTCCCAGGCATATATCTTGCCAAATTGTTTGGCATCTTTATACACAGCACTAAGACTTGCACAGCATGTTGAGCCAAAAATATTAAGAAATGTGGTATTTTGTTATGCAGATAATGACTTATAGCTTTCAGTCTCAAAGTACTCAGAAACATCCACCACATCTGGAAAACCAGCATTAGAAACGTACACAGTACCACTGAAGCTCTGGCATTCACCCCTAGACGTGAACCTTGTTTTGCGCCCCCCATCTGTGGGATTAGCAGACTGTTAAGTTCATGACTGATGTTTCTAAAAGCATTACTCCCTACAAATGTTGGGGTGGGAAAGGCACATCCCTCCAGTTGAACAAATTTGAAAATAGGCCACTAGGTTCTGTGACTTCCTATGGCTTTCCTGAAAACTGAGTTAATTTGAGTAGTTCAAGAAACTCATAACAAGGTGCAGAAAGAAAATCTTTCACTGCCATATCACTGCTCCAGCCACTAAGACTGTGTTCACTCTCCAAATTAAACAGCAGATAGACTGGCAGATTTTCCTTTTTTTTTCCCTTGCACTTTCTTTCCTTCTTCCCCGTTTTGTTAAAAATAAATAAAAAAAAGCTAAAGAGCTCTATAAGAAATTCCATTTGGCAGCTGTAGAGTGGATAGTGAACATAAAGAAGAGATTCCTTTGCTGTGCCTAATGCATGCTGCTTATCCAAATTAGCCACACAATTACTTCTATCAATGCAAAAATAGTTTAATGTTTTTTTCTAGTGCACAGCACTTGAAAACGACTTAAAATGCAGCGTAATTTGCCACAGTGTATGTCCTGAAGTGGCTCGCTAATGAAAAGAGGATTAACTCTCCATTATTCTGAATTACCATTTTGTGAAATCACTAACAATATTTTCATTTATATACATATAACCCAAGGGGGAGAAATATTCCAGCCATCCAAGTGATTAACAAATAAAATTCATTAGATAACACGCACTTTGGTCTTATTTATGAAGAGAAAGATTAGGGTATAAAAATGCAGATGACTGCATTTTTATCATCCTTGTTCTGATAATACACTTCAGTCCATGACAGCGTAATTGGTGAGCACTGGCAATTCAGCATTACACACACACACTGGATTGAGAAGCAGAACCTGCAGGATGTCAGGCTCAGAAAACAAAACCTTGTAGGCTTGAAGCCTCGGTCACGATCCTGCTGAGGCTGACCCAGCGCTCGGCTGTGGACCAGCCCTCGCAGGGCGGGCACAGAGAGGGCACGGGAAAGTCTCAGCAGCGCACACAGTCCGACCTCGGCACAGCGCAGCAGAGCAAGAGAGAAGCTGTGGCTTGGGCACCCGGGAAGAATGGGATGAGTCGCAGGTTGCCCTGCCTCACTGGAAGGGAACTCCTGGCCCCAGATGCAGGGCTCTGCTCCTCACTGTGACCCACAGGTGGGCTCAAATCTTCCTACTGAGAACCTCTCTGGGACAGCAGCAGTTCCCACTAACTGACTCTCCTTTCCATCCCTCCTCCATGAAGTAAGAAAGGTTGTCCTGAAGCAGCACGTCCAGGAGCAAGCAAGGTGCAGAGTCCCTTATGCAAAGGGCACAAGGACCATCTCTACTGTACTTATTCAGTGGAACACATTTGCCAGGGAAGTTGTGGGTGCATCATCCCTGGAAGTGTTCAAGGCCAGGCTGGATAAGACTCTGAGCAACCTGGTCTAGCGGGAGGCGTCCCTGCCCATGACAGGGGGGTTAGACCTAGATGATCTCCAAGGTTTCTTCCAACTCAAGTCATTTTATGATTCTACTCCAGAGAGCTTTCACATCCAAGGTTGTGTGTTCCCAGCACAGCGTGGTGCCACGAAGCAGCTGCCAAGCTGGTACACAACAGCTGCGCTGGTACATCATTCAGCCTGCACTAACTAATCCATAAGGGAAAGCATTTTAGCCCAAATGAAGCAGCGCAAGAGGTGGGAGACTGCTACAAGGAGCCTGTGCAGAGGTAACCTTGCAATCTACCTGCCAGCTGACTGCACCAGGTGAATACCTTGCAAGGAATGGTCTCCCCTCCCCAGAGGTGTGCAAAGGTCCTTACCTATGCTTGTGTTAGACAGTCATCCTTTTATAGATAAAGACATCCTTATATCCACAACTGCATTAAGAACAATCACACACAAAGAAAAATTCCAGCATGCTTTTCACTTTTTAATGTAAAAGGGCAAGCCTAGGGAACAGTCTTCCCTTATCTCCATTTGGTCAACACACACACAGTCAATCAGAGACTAGGTTAGACATCTTTGGTTCCTGGAGAGACACAAGTCCTTCAGTTCTTCTTCCCCCAATTCAATGCTTCATGACAATTCCAGAACTCAAGTAGCAAACTAGCCTCTATTTTTCCCTCCTCTTCTCCTCCTAGTTAAACTCTGCTACTTCTTGCTTAGTCTACAGTCAAATCTGAAATACGTATTTTACTAGAGGAATTTCAACTGATGTTTTCTTGTGCTCTAATTCAATTTAAAAATCCCCACAGCAGATAACATTGGCAAGGCATAAAAGAACACAGCTTCCTTGCAAGTTCAGGGAGCATATGGCTTCCCAGGACAGACAGCAACAAGTATTTCTCAGCAGTGGTCTAACTTTCAGTGTGCTAACCAAGCTTCAAATTGAGATGGTGTTACAGTTACCACAAACGATCATTTGCAGAGGTAATTGCCCTGTTTTGAGGTCTGCAATCTACGAGCAGGACTATTGGTGTAACAAATGAATGTGCTGTGGCCACTGAGTGTGATTACTGATTACATTGCTTTCTCTTCTTCCCTTTGTCTCCTTCCCTCTCATTTTATGGGGCCGTGTATAAAAGGACGGTCAGTCCTCAGCATCAAGGCAACAAGCTCTCAGTTAAGGTAACTCCTTACTAGACAAATAGCAGTTCTTACCAAGTTCTAGGTAACAGATTATTCACTCCCAGAGTCAGATTGTTAGATCTGTATTTTTGACAGTCTAACATTATCTACACTGTCGAGTCTGCATGTAGAATTAGCATAATTCTGGCATGCGAAGGAAAAAGGCTCTCCTGAGGAATGACTAATGAGGGCAGAGAGATGGGACTTGGGGCTCCACAGAGGCATGAAAGACCAAGCCCAAGGTAAACTTGCTAGAAGCTGGAATTCTCAGAGCCCTTTACAAATTTCAGCAGAGGACCACTTAGCTAAACATCATCATCATGTTTTAGGAAGCTTGGCTGAAAGACAGATCCTCTTGCCAGTGAAAGCAAGCCAATTTCTGAACAAAGGTGTACACATGCCAAACGAAAACCGACTCCACAATCTTGCCTAGCTTTGGAGTAGGAAAAGGGGAATCATTTGGCTTTTTCAAGTTTTGTGGAGAAACAGAACATGACAGGCACAAAGAGCCCAAACTGAGGAAACAAACCCCATGGGTACACAGGATGTCAGTGAAAAATGGTCATCCTGCTTTCAGGAGAGCTGTGCAACAGCTGCATGAAGGCATTAGCCATATTTTTGTAATTAAAAGGACACAAGCGTCACCAGCAGCCAAAAAAAAACATTTTGGGAGCTACTACAGGATTTGTTGCCTGCAAGAAAGGTGGATTTTTGGCAGGCTCTACTTGGACGCTTCGTAAGATCAAGTCTTCCTGCTGCGAGTGTCCTATGGAACTGCAAGGTTCAACTTCTCCTTTCAAGGGGATGGGAGGCAGGAGCAACCACTGTCCTGAGCCATCAGGGAGTCCAGCAGGAGAAACAAGACAGACCCAACAAGGAGATGGAGCAGACAAGACAGAAGACTGGCAACGTGTTAAGAAAAGGAAACTTGTTTCAGAGGACAAGAGAGGAAGATGATTAAGTGACAACTGACAACAGGGTAAATAGGAGATCAGGCACATGGCCGGCCTCACATTCTAGTTCCTAGAGGTTTGCTGTAATGTAAAGATTAACCACACAAGTGGTTTAACTTCTTGCTGACAACTTGCAGAACAAAACATGCTTTGCCTTCATAAATGTGCAAATCCACAGAAGACCAGAGGAGACATTACATACAACACCCGTGTCCCTCACAGCAATCCCCTCTCTGACACTGTGCCTGGATCTATGACAGAAGTATTTGTCTGGTAGCGTGCAGAGTTCCCAGTGGTGTTAATTTGAACTGAAAAGCTCTCATGGACAACTTTATCACTTGTCACTCCCTTCTTTCTTCTTCTTTACTGAGAACACATGGACGTACTGCATCTTAGCTCTCCCCTTGCAAAATTTTCTTCAAGTAATCAAAAAACTTAAAAAATAATCTGAAAAACCCTTGACCTAAATTGCATGCAACACTGTACACACAGGGATACCAGTTGACTTCTCTGGCAGGTCAGCGCAGTGCCACACCTGAGCTAAGGAGCACAGCATTGCGTTCTTGCAGCCGTACTGCACCTGCAGAGGCTGGTATGCTTGCTGGTGGTGCAAGGGTTTCTGCATCACACCTGTCTCACTGAGCTTTTACCAGAGATCCCCTGCAGCTGAAGTTAAACATGGATGCAAAAAAGTCACCTGCCCAAAAGACAAGAATATTCTTGCAAACCTATAGTTACTTGCCATGTCCTAAGGCAGTATATCTTCACAAAGGCATGAGTGGGAGAGGTGTTGAGACTCATTAGCCTCTAGCCTTTGACTTCACTCGCCAGCTTTGTGGAAACTCCAGGCTGCCCTCTCGAGCTCCTGCCTCTCGAGCTCCTGTTGCTCCAGGGCTAAGTATCCAGCTCCTAAGCAAGGCACAGATTTGGGGCAGCAGGGGAGAAGGGAGACCACCTAACTGGGTTTTAACTGTTGACTCCACTGCTGAGGGAGGCAGACTCTACAGGGGGAAAAACTCAGTCAGGACAGCAGCTGAGGAAATCACAGCAAGCAGGAGAAAATCTGGAGCTTCAAGAAATGAATAAAGCTGACACCAAAGGATTCAATACCAGCAGATAGCTCAAACGCACAGGATGTTAAAGTTGTCAGTTCTGAGCAACACAGCTGACAGTATGGCCAGGCAAAGAGTATTGGTTTTGGCAGCATTAATGATACTCTTATTTTAGCTACAGGATAACATTACTTCATTGCTCCTTTCTGTATGTTCATCAGTGTTGCTTCCTACCCACTTGGCATATATGCATCCAGGGTTTGTTTGGTTTTTTGGTGTATTTTTTTTTTTAAAAAAAGTGAACCTGAAAATAAGGAAGTCATTGAGCCCATTTTGGCTAAAAAAAATATTCTGTCAATCAGTCAGTGATGCTGCAAAAAGGCAAACTCTCGTTCCTGCAAAAAGCCTGTGAGGTTCAGCATGCAGGGTTGCATTAAGATCTTGATACAGTAGAACAGGTACCAGCATTCACCTGAATGGACACATTTAATCTCCCTGTTGAAATTCACATAAAAAATAAGCCTTTAGGAGATTCACAACTAATTAATGATAAAAAAGTATCTTAAATTTCCCTCATTCAGGTCCCCTAGCTGCTCTAGAACCCTTGAGTCATGCTACTGGCCTACAAATTCCTACCAGGGGATTTTCCAGGAAACAAACTGCCAGTTTAGACCAGTGATCACAAACCTTTGGCTTTTGTTCCCATTGCTAGTGGATTCATCCTACAAAATATTCCTCACCTAGTTCAGAGAAGGCAGAAATCCAGGTGCGAGTGTTTCTGCCACGGAGCAGGTACATCCATCTCATACGATGCCCAGCCCAATCACCCAGCCAGTGCTGCTCCCAGCATTCCACAACTGGAATTCTGGCTGCTTTGTGATTCCTCAGGTTCATGTTCTGTTTTGCTTCCATTCCAGTTTCTTCCATCCTGAGCACACGACTCCATGGACAAGATGTCATCAGCAGGTTTGAACACTGGGAAGAAAAATGCATACACAGCAATCAAAGTAGATCCTGATGAGGATTATTGTACCCCAGGTGCATTTGAACTGGAGCGACTTTTCTGGAAAGGATGCCCAAAGTACACTCATGTCAATGAAGTTTGGCCCAACCTCTACATAGGAGATGAGTAAGTGTTCACAGTACCTCTCTTCATAGCAGATGAGTAAGTGTTCATAGCATGTCTTCTACACAGGAGATGACTAAGCTGTACTACCAACAGGGCAAGGTGTTTCTTTCCTCATCCTACATATTTTTTAGTATTTAGTGGTGATGACATGATCTGATGAGCTACTGACAGATGCCAGAGTTCAAGAAAGCAACCAGAGCCTGGCATGGTCCTTACAGATACATGCATACAGCATTGGTTGCTGCTGCTTCAAGAAAGCTCTGGGTAAGTGCGGTGGGGTCTGCTTTTAAAGACTGAGTAACAGGAGCAGTTGTGGCACTAGTGTTAGCTGTGGAGGTTGAAACTAGTCATGATCTATTTTTAAATAGCTCATTTCAAGAAGTAATTTGTCACTTACCATGTCAAGGAGTTGTTCGTCATTTATCTTTGAGTGAAGGTCCTTCTGCAGTTATACTAACAGAAGAGCATGCCCCAGATGTGTTGGACCACAACTTTGGTTGGACACCAAGCTGGGTGGAAGTGTCCATCTGCTTGAAGGTAGGGAGGCTCTACAAAGAGTTCTAGACAGGCTGGATCGCTGGGCCAAGGCCGATTCCATGAGTTTCAATAAGGCCAAATGTCGGGTCCTGCACTTTGGCCACAACAACCCCCAGCAGCGCTACAGGCTTGGGGAGGAGTGGCTGGAGAGCTGCCAGGCAGAGAGGGACCTGGGGATGTTGATGGACAGCCGGCTGAGCATGAGCCAGCAGTGTGCCCAGGTGGCCAAGGCGGCCAACGGCATCCTGGCCTGGATCAGGAATAATGTGGCCAGCAGGAGCAGGGAGGTGATCATTCCCATCTGCTCAGCTTTGGTGAGGCCTCACCTCGAGTACTGTGTCCAGTTTTGGGCCCCTCACTACACAAGGGACATTGAGGTGCTGGAGAGGGTACAGAGGAGGGCTACCAAGCTGATAAAGGATTTGGAGCACATTTCCCATGAGGAGCAGTTGAGGGATCTGGGGCTGTTCAGCCTGGAGGAGAGGAGACTGAGGAGAGACCTACCACTACTTGAAATGAGGTTGTAGCAAGGCGGGGGTTGGTCTGTTCTCCCTAGTGGCAAGTGACAGGACAAGGGGAAACGGCCTTAAGTTGCACCAGAGGAGGTTCAGGATTAGTGTTGTTGGTAGGGCTAGGACAAAGGTTGGACTCAATGATCGTGAAGGTCTCTTCCAACCGAAACTGTTCTATGATTCTAAGCCTAAAACATAATTCCTAAAAAGTGACTGAATAGACAGCTCAACCCAGTGATATTTCTGAATTTCCAAGCCTTGCTTGTGTACATGGAACACTCTGCATTTCCAAATCACTCAAGAGATTAAAACAAACAGAACCCTGCAGAAGGCAAAGCTGCAGAGATGTGTCTCACTGATCAGACCAAGTGTGATTTGGAAGGAAACCAAACCCACAAAACAGACTTTAGCTCTGGTGAGCACAGGGCTAAAGTAGAAACAGCCTACTCCAACAAGCAGGGACGACTACAGCAGGAAGACATGCCATCAGAAAAAACCCCAACCCAAACCCTGGGCAGAGCAAGAGAGCTTTTCTTACCCCTTAGGCATTACTGGTCCACTTCCCATTTTCCTCTACACCCTGCGCTAACATGACATTTATTTTACATCATCACTGTAAGGCACAAGCAGGAGTCCCACTGGCTCCAGAGTCCTCAATAATTTTTTTAAAAGGTCCTAAAAATTCATCCATTGCCAGCTTATAAAACAGGAAAGACATACAGCCTTGGAAGTTACAAGACTCCTAACATCATTGATCAATCACTTCTGAGGCGCCAGAGGCAACAGAAAGACACACAAGAGTTCTGGGCTATAACCAGGCTGGGACTCCTACTTTGGAAGACAGGAAAAAAAAAAAAAATTAAACCATGGGAAGAGCCTGGCCAAATGATGCAGGAACAACAGAACAGGAAGTTGCGTTGTCCTCCATGCAGGGTAGGATGCATATCTTATTAGATACTTCTAACTCAAGATTCAGTGTAAAGAACAGCCTCTTCTGGCATTTATTTCTACTTTCTTGTTCACAATCATTGGGAGAATTATTCTGAATAAAGTCACTAGAAGAATTTCCCGTGTATCTCTGTGATCAAGCTACGCTTCTGCCTTCTGAGCAAAGGGATATAATAAGACAACAGGGCTTTGGACAGTCAGTCTCTAAGCAAAGGGCACCAGCCACTGGCTCATTCCTGTAGCAGTGGCTTGTTACATCTTATAATTTAACAAATGCTAGGAGGTGCAACTCTGAATACAACACACAACTGCACTTAGTACAAACTTAACCAGAGGAACAGAAAAACAAAACTTCCTGAGAAGTACTTAGAGCAACACTCACTTATGCTGGGCAGTGTATTTCTGCAGCAAACTGATCTTAAGTCAGGAGGAAAAGCAACGGTGCTTCAAAGGGAAACAAGTCCCCCACAGGGACTGGTACAGGAGAATGAGAAAGCCAAGGGAAAAGGAAAAAGTGAAGAGCAAGTTGGGGTGAACAGAAGTAAAACTTCACCAGAAAACAGGGCTCCCTCAATGACTGTTACTAGATGGATAAGGGCAAACTTGACACCCAATAGCAGAAAATCCAAGATGAGAACTGGTCTGCAGGCAAGATGCAGCTTTCATTACCAGAACCAAAACTTGATTTGAAGCAAAGTTGAGGAACCCCTGTATCTTTCCTCAGCCAGCTCCACATCTTACTTCTGACCAACAGCTTCCCTCTTCAGTGTGCCAGGGTGTTTTGTATTGCTTTAAGATCTTGCTGTAGCACTGGTCGCCAAAAAGCTACCATGGAGACATGAACAGATGTTGCATGTATTTGCATCCTTAGCCATGCTAAATTAAGGCTGATCTTGAAAGAATTTAGTAGAGCTCATCAACAAAATCAAGTGAACACACACATGCAGAGTTTATCTTCAGAGCCTTCACATCTGTGATTCATTCCTGCCTCCTGCACTTACAAGGTTAACAGGACTTGTGACTGCTTATGGAAATGCTAATTAATTACCCTGACTACGTAACCACATCTTCCTTCTAATGCAATACAGGCTATCAAGGAGCCCTGTGAGGCCACTCAATCCTTTTGTTACAAGGCTTCACTGCAGATGTTGCCCAGAGGCAACAAAATCTCCATGAGCCTGTCAGGCCCAGAATAATCAAAGCCTCGAAATACAACATGCTGTGTTCAGCTCCAATTGAAATTTTCCTCCAGCAAATTCCAAGGACTTTTAAAGACCAGACACTGGAACTTGTAGGAGACAGCCCAGTGACAGGAATAAAACATGCTTTGCCAAGATCTTGATTCATCTGCTACCAGGATTAGTGCTTGCATGTAGCCTCTTCACATCCAGACATCTTCTAAAGGGACAGAAAGCAGCTTTGTCTTGCCCCTCTCTTTCAGTGGTCACCAGGTTACTCGCATGGGCAGTTTTACTGGCTGAGCCCAAGCCTGCTTGCTTCGCTGCAGTCACCTGAGAAACCTCTGCCAGTTACACAGCTTGTAACTTCTTTCAGCTCTTCAGTGATTGCCTTTTTACCTGAGATTATATTCACGGTTCCACATTTCTGAACTTCAAAGAATATTTTAGCTGAAGACAGAGGCCTCCCAAGATCTTAGTTTCCTTTTAACCATCCTGCAGCTCTTATTAGGATTTCAGGCCTGATCACAATTTCAGGTCTTTCTGTGTTCCCAAGCTACTCTCAGAGCAAATGAAGTCTTCAGGAGTCTAATTCCTTACAGGTGAAACATGAAAAATCATTTTCTGTATACGCAGCTGAACTGAGCTTGCACTTCAAGAAAGCTATGGTCTGTGCTTGCCCTTGTAGAGCCCCAGGGCTTATGGTCTTGAGAACTAACACAGGTGAGATTGAACAAGACACAAGTAACTCAAACCCACAGATTCGTGTGTGTGATAATTAAAACACATAACTGAACTTTAAATATATGCTTAAAACTCATTCTCTCCTCTTCTCTTTCTCCAAAAAAACCAATACAGTAGGGCTTTTTCCAAGTGACTAAGTAGAAAGAGAACTTACACTGATCTAGAAGAAAACAGATGGGACTCACTGAGGGTAGCAAATAGCATTATCAACTCCTAGGGTCTACACCAGTATTAATCATACAAAGTCAGGAGTGTAGGCAGATCTAGATTATAACAACACTCTTGAGGACACAGTTTCAACTGTGTTAGTATGAGGATCTGTCAACTGCAACAGCAGTTTAACAGTCCAGAAAAATCAGATCTGTAATACTAAACCATAAACCTCTTAAAGGAGCAATACTTGCACACACAGCATCATCTCCGTCTGCGTGTGATTTCTAAGAGCTGGTGAGTGATTGAAGTCAAGGCTAGGAACTGACTGACTGATATCACATGTGTTTGATGCCTTTGCTGTAGAGAAAGCAAAGAGGCATTTTCCACATCTAGGTTGTATCACTTGAAAAAACAGCATCCACTGTTTTGGGCTAGAGCAGAATGGACTACTAAATCTTTTTCTACCACATATTATAAAGATTCTGTTCAGTATTTTCAGTGGTAACTAAAAATTCTTTTAATTCACACTGAACAGGAGGTATCCACAGATATGGAGCAACACCTCAGAAGGAAAAGGGGATACAATGCTACACTATCGCTAGATTCCCTCAGTGCTGGAGTTACCAAAGGAAATTGGGTCAGCATTATCGGAAATTCTCAACATCTCTCCTCAGGAGGGAGAACTGCCAGATTTTCTTAAGAAAGTGTCAGTATTGCCTATATTCAGGAAGCTTCTTCCTGACACTGACCATCTGGTAAATTATCATCCTGCATCGAGCTTTCCTTCAGTGTTTTAGAAAATGGAAAAGTTTGAGAGAGATGATTCTTCTTGTAGCAACATGTTGCCTTAGACCTCCTTGTGTTTTGTCAATCTGGGTCATGTCAGTCTGTGGCTTTAACAGTCTATACTGAAACATGTTTGTTTCAC